TTTTTTCTCCACATACATATATTTGATGGACAAAAATACCCTTTTAAAATCCTTGAAATTTTATTAAAAATGTTATCGAGAACATATTAACAAGATTTTAGAATAAGGAAACAAGATATGCTTAGAAAAAGAAAAGGACAAAGGTGAATTTTTAAAAAAAGGAGGTGTAAGAAGAAGAACATAGAGTGAGAAAAAGAGAAACTCATATTAATAAAGGCCCACTTTGAAGTAACCCAAAAAGGGGTGAGAAAAGGCACTGGATATGATGCATCCACACGTCAAATTAAGAGCCTCAGCAGGTGAGGATGAACCTTCAACTTGGCATGCAACACAATTTTCCTTTCATTGTGAAGAAAATTATGTACCACAAAAATTAGCCACTATCAAGATAAGACTCTTGTGGAGAACTCATGCCACAGTGTCCCATATCATCATTTACAACTCAATCCAACGGCTCACATTCACTTGTGAGGTGCAGCCACAAGACATGATATATATTATCATGACATACACATTTTATCTAAAGTTTCACCAAAACTTGTTCACCCCATTTGTCTTCTGAATTCTCATCACTAACACAAGTGGTAGATTCATTGGCTTGGAACATGGCTTCTATCATCATGTCATTTGCTCCAGCCACTGGAAGAGTTTTTGCAGCCACTGCTGCAAAGGGTGCTGGTGGAAGCAAAGAGGAGAAAGGTTTCTTTGATTGGATCCTTGGAGGGTTGCAGAAGGAAGACCAGCTGCTAGAGACTGATCCTATTCTCAAGAAGGTGGAGGAGAAGAATGGAGGCACCACCTCCACTGGCCGCAACAAGAACTCTGTTGCAGTGCCACAAAAGAAGAAAGGAGGTTTTGGAGGCCTCTTTGCCAAGAACTGAACCAGTGATTTACTCTACATTTTTATTTACTTGTCTTCTCAAACTCAATCATCCTTCTCTTCTCCACCTAGATTCCAATCTCTTGATCTTATGGAATATTTTATGTTTGGCTCTTCTGGCTCATTGTATTACACAATTATATCGATTCATTTTGGATCAGTTACCAACCAGGTACAATCTGTTAACAATTTGGATATATTTTCAGTTTTTTGGTTATTTACTTTCCTTACTACTTTAGGCCTTTAAGTTAAAAGATGTGCCTTGTCTGTCATAAATGGTAATGCCTTACAAATTCCAAGATGCCATTTCTTTTAATATTTCTTACAACAGAAAAGGCAGAGTTTACAGATTTTTGCTTCCAAGATGAACATTCAATGAAATCAAATACAACCCTTGTTAAAATTGCATGATAAGCTTAAACATCATGTTATTGTTGTTAGTCTGTGTAGGAGATATGTTCAAGAAAAGAAACGATTATATTCTGTTTAGTTTGTTAATGATTCCAAAATGTTAACTTGCCGTTCAGTAAGTGTTGTCAAATTCCAATGATTAGATGGAACTGATCCAAGTTGGGAATTTCAACCTTAAATGATTGATATCCCATGGACTTGGAACATATTGAACCTTCTATTTTGAGGTTAGGCTCTAACGTTGGAATCAGATAACCTTCACAGTAGCACTATTATTTCTTGCAAAATTGACAGCACAAAACCATTCAGATTTCAAGACTGTCAAGAACTATTAGTGATGGTTGTAAGATCATTACTTATTTTGAAAATGGCATGAAGCTAATAAGTTACTGTCATAAACAATGTATGAAAAGTAAGGATAAGTGTTTCTGAAAGATCGAGAAGAAAGGAAATTTAAACGACCTGTTAGATGGTTTTAAACAAATATTGCTAATTACTCGTGTTCACAGCTAAACATAAGATTCAATCATTGTAACTCAGTATATCAGTCAATTATGGAAGATAAATGCTAAAAGGAAAGAACCAATGCAAGTGTATTAAAAGTCACACATACTGTTTCAGTTGAAATGAAATGCATGTTGTTAGAATCTCATCAAAAGAAAATACAACCGATCATGTTTGCATAGAGACATACTACACATATTTTCATCCAACAATAACCTTCTGGGGATATCGTTATTATTTTGTAAAACTGAACACATGCAAGAGAACAGACACTGAAATACGGCATCAAGAACTCTTTAATCTTTAATTTTACAGTTTATGATTCAAAGTTTTTCAAATGAGCATGTGAGAAATCTTCTCCTGGTGTTGCGGTTACCGAATTTGATCTAGAGAAGGAGGTGTGGATGAACTCAATGCAGTCCTCAACAGCTTCTGTCCGATAATAATCAACAGATACTCCAATTGGTTTTGATCTTCCCATGGAAGAGGAACCTCGGTTAGAAGATTTTCTCACAGGCCTCAAGCATATAGCTTTTGTCACTTTATCTGCAACAACCTTCAGAAATTCAATAGGGGAAAATTCAGACGGCCAAGGAATCCTGAACTTGCAGCTCCTCCCATGCTTGTTACAAAATGATCTCCTGGTGTTTTTTCTCCAGGACAAGCCTGTTTGATTCATTGAGTGTTCCTCTTTTCTTTCTTTGCATAACCATAATGTTATATACAAAAGAGGGAGAGAAGCAAGAGAGAGTGTATGCGACAAGTGATGTGATAACAGACAAAAAGGAATTGTAGGTAAGACCCAACAACACAGTTGTTGGAAAGGTTGGAAATTTGAAAAAAGGAAGCTCTTGTGTGCTTAAGTGAGAAAACCAACCGTAGTTTCCAGGTATATTGGTAAAGGTTTTGTAGTAATCTTGTGACCTTGAAATGTATTTGACCTTTTGAACGTATAATGTAGTGATACAAGTATTTATACCTTTACCACCTTTGATGATGAAGTATATCATAAAGGCACAAGTTTGTGGTTTGTGGAGGTACACAATTCATCACTTTATCATAACTAGACCTCCTTTGAAAGATATCCGGTGTCATATGTGATGAAGTTAATTTGATACATCAGATTATGAAGAGAATTATGTGATTATCGAACTAGTAGTCTTTATACTGTATTACTGAGAATTCTGTAACTATGACATTGCTAAGTGTTCAATCCAATAAATCACGATTTTGTTTAAAGTCTCGTATCGATTAGAGATAAAATTAATTTATAATACATAAATAAATACAAATCTTATTTTTAAAGTCTGTTTTATAGAGTTAAATTAGACTTAAAGTTCATTATATTTATTTTATATAAGAGTAAGTTTGTGATAAAAAGGTGTGCAAAAGGCAAGAAGGTGGGTTAAGGAGGTGAGAAAAGAGTAAAAACAAAACTAACCTAAGCAGATACACTTGCTCTCTGTATTTTCTGTTTCTGATGCACTGCACCATTGACTATGCAGTCAAACATTGTAGAGAACACTATCATGATGCTTTACTTGGGAAAAAACATAACTAGGTGGGTCCCACATTCCTGTTCATAAGGTAGGTATCCATGCAAGGAAAATTGGGGTGGAGGCTATCTAAGTTGAGTAGTAGGAAGAATTTTGGTTTAAAAGACTCAACTTTTTGGCATGTTACAAGAGCATTCAAAATCTTCACCAAAAATTCATCTCTACTAAATTGTAAATGGTCATTTGTAATGTGTTTAATCACTTAACACTCCTGTAGGAACAAATGAAGTATTAACACTATGTAGGAACAACAAGCCAAAAATTATCATTAAACTAAAACGAGAAACTGTGGTAAGGATGATGAAAATAAGGCATATTTGTTCCTGCACTCTGTCAAATTTCTCCTTGCATCCATCATTCTCGAATTTATTTTTCTGAATACACTAAATTAATTCCGGAGACATAATATCCAAAATAGTAGAGATACAAGAAGATATATGATAAGGCGCAAGAAGAAAAATAAACCCAAAAATACAAACTATTTGTATCCCCACTTACAAATTGAAGTTGGGGCCATTTGTTCCTGTATCTCCATAATTTTAACCTGCACTTCCACAATTCGTGTATTTTAGAATATACAATCAAAAATATAATTTTTTGTATTTTAGATTATATATTTTAAAATATAAAATAAAAAATACATTTTAAATTGTATAATCTGAAATATATTTATATTTGGTTACAGAATACAAAAATTTGTTTTTTAAATGGTATATTTTTAGAATACATAATAATAAATAAATTTTGAGTTGTATATTTCAAAATACAAAATTTTTATTTCGGACTATATAATCCAATTTATGAGGATACAGGAAAAAAATTATGGAAATACAGGAAGGTACCTCATGTGGGTAGTTATAAATTGAAAGAGATAGTTCCACCAACAAAGTTCATTTATAAGGAGTGAACTTACTGGCTAGAATGTTTGGCCAAGTGCTACCCTATCTGTAAATATGAGCTACAACAAAACTCATGTTTCTTCCTCCATCCTATTAAATTTCTTCCTATCCATCACAGACTTCCTTGAGCAGGGGTGGGATGAATGTTTTCCAGAAAAATATTTTTGGAATTAGTCTAGTATTAAAACTAGCATGTTTGTCTCATCAGAGACTTAAAAAGCATGACATTCTTTCAAAACATTCTTTACTTTTACTGAAGTCCATATGAAACTCACTACAAAATAAGAGACTAAAACTAATTGAAAAATAGAGCTACAGTAGTAGGACCCGCATGAATTTCCTTGATAAAAAAATTGTTGAATAGTGTTGCTAGCATTTCTCTTCTTATATGTGAAGGTGGATTTTATGCTGAATTATAAGATCTTGAATCTAAGGACAGTATACTACTAATTCAGATCATGCCGCCGTACATTTTAAACACTTCTAACCATGACCAAATGGCATGGCCAACGAGCTGTCTGCTGCATCCCAGTATTAGCTGGTCCAAATTGCGTATACAACGCGCAATTCCTGCAAAAGCATAAAAAAGAGAAAAATGCACGCTCCCTGCGCAGGCATCACCCTGATCAGGTTCAAAGGGACTGTCTCAGCCTGATCTGCTAGCTTTCTATCTTGATAGCGAGAGCTTATACAGATTCAGGCACCCCTGGTGCATCTCGGGTGTTAATAAAATAGCCCAAAAGATAAAGATGGTATTCAATATGATACTAGAGCAATTCATTGCTGAGAATTGGATAACAAAACAAATGTTGACTAAAGATGAAGTTCATAAACGCTCTCTACAAACAGAACTTATTCGCCTACTCCTACTGCTTGAAATGCATTCCCACCCTGAGAGGCCAGCTGGGAAGCTAGCTCCATGTTCTTCCAAATGATTTACTCCATTCATTCAGTCCTGCAAAATAATATGCATAAGATATTCCATCTTCCGCTGACAAACACCTAAACAAGGCAAATGGTTGGCAAACCATTTCCATAACAGTAAACCATTAAGTGTGCGTAATTGCATTAGGGGGAAAAGTGTATAATTGCACGAGAAGGGAAAGTTATATGGTGCCATATGGAGCTCACTACAGACGCAGGTGCTATGAAGATGCCATAGGTTTAATCCTCCTACACAACCTGGGGTGCTAGCACCATCAAAGGTCAGAAGTTTCTTAAAGTTGAGACTTTAAGAAGTACTAGAGCATAAACTAATTCAAATTATTATGCCATGAATTCAAATGGTTATTTGGTATCATAAAAGTGTACGATGAACAATGAAAGTGGAAATATAGTTTACCCACACCTAGTCATTATGATAATAATAGAGGGTGAGCCTTGGTGCAACTGTAAGGTTGCTAACTTGTAGCCTTGGGTTCTAGTGATGGGAATTAACCTTCTCCTTGGTATGATGGCCTAAGTTTAACTCTCCCCAAACCCATGATGATAGGACCCCTATGTACCCTGCTACCCATTTGTAGTCATTTTCATTTAAATAGCCTGAATAGATTGGCTTCTATGAGGAAATATCAACATTCAGCAGGACAAGATGGTGCTTCATGTTGTAGTCACTAAAGGAGACAAATACTTCGGCCAATAATGTGGCTTTTATGAGATTTTTACTTAGATTAGGTTTCCAACAAGCATATTTAATGAATTGATTCACAGCAACCCATTATAATCCATGTCAAATGGAATGAGAAAAAGAACGTCATATTAAAAAACTAAAATATTTTATCCAGTCTCACCTCTCCTTGGAGTTTACGTAAGCTTCTGGCAAGTAAATCTCTCCACCAGCTTCACCATGTTGCTCCCCACTGATAGTTTTCTTGGCAGCTTGAAATTCAGCACTCATAGCATCCATCCCACGCTGCAAAGCTTCCTCAGCAGTTCCATAGCCATATTTCTCAGCATACTTTCTCACATCTTCTGTTATCTTCATAGAGCAAAATTTAGGGCCACACATTGAACAGAAATGTGCCACTTTCGCACCATCTGATGGCAAGGTTTCATCATGGAAGGCCATGGCTGTCATTGGATCCAATGACAAAGCAAACTGGTCCATCCATCGAAATTCAAATCTTGCCTTGCTTAACGCATCATCCCAGGCCTGAGCATGTGGGTGACATTTGGCTAAATCAGCTGCATGAGCTGCTATCTTATAAGCTATCACTCCAGCCTTAACATCATCCCGGTTTGGCAACCCAAGGTGTTCTTTTGGAGTCACATAACAGAGAAGAGCTGTACCAAGTGCACCAATATTTGCAGCACCGATTGCAGAGGTAATGTGATCATAGCCAGGAGCAATATCAGTTGTTAAAGGACCAAGGGTGTAAAAAGGTGCTTCATTACACCATTCTAACTGTTTCTGCATGTTTTCAGGAATCTTGTGCATTGGGATATGTCCAGGTCCTTCATTCATCACCTGTAAAGTAACTCAAAGTAAACAGATGGTGATAGCTTAATATCATACGAAATAGATAGAATCACCATGCAACAATATATACATGAAAACATTGTGTACTATATTTAGTTTCGCAGTTGGCCACCTAGGAACTTCATTGATCATCAAAGCAGTGGCAAATTCAACAGCATTTAAAATATACCTCTCGCGATGGATTGTTAGTCTATTCCTATCGAAGTTATTATCTCTAATAATAATAAAATGTGACTAGAATTATGCCTAGAAACTCCTAATTGTTCATGCTAAAGAACTACTAATAATGAAAAGTAACACGTTAAACAGATATGTATGCAGAGACTGTGATGTTGAAATAAAAATTGAAAATAGAGGCTAAATCATTTCATCCTGCCATAAATGTATGAGTTTCGAGCTGTGAAAATGTTATGTGTATCACCTGCACATCCTTTTCCCATGCTCTACGGGTCAGTTCTCCTTGGGTCAAGAGTTCAGCAAATTGAGCCGTGTCATTTGCATCGTAGATGGATCCAGGTCTTAGACCATCACCAATGGATAGGGCCACATCATACTGATTGCAGATGTCAAGAATGTCATCCCAGTGCTCATAAGCAAAATTCTCTTTGTGATAAGCTAAGCACCACTTAGCATGAATAGATCCTCCCCTGGAGACAATTCCTGTCATGCGTTTTGCTGTTAATGGAATATATCTCAGAAGAACTCCTGCATGGATGGTGAAGTAATCTACACCCTGTTCAGCTTGTTCAATCAGGGTGTCCCTGAAAACCTCCCAGGTAAGATTTTCAGCAATTCCATTAACTTTTTCAAGTGCTTGATAAATAGGTACAGTTCCAACTGGTACAGAGGAGTTGCGTAAGATCCACTCTCGAGTTTCGTGGATGTGGCGACCAGTTGAGAGATCCATGACTGTATCAGCTCCCCACATAGTTGCCCACTGAACCTTGTAAACCTCCTCTTCTATGGAGCTAGCAACTGCAGAATTTCCAATATTGGCATTTACTTTCACCAAAAAGTTTCTTCCAACAATCATGGGCTCTAACTCCAAGTGTTTTTTGTTGGAAGGAATGATAGCACGTCCACGAGCAACTTCTGACCTCACAAACTCTGGGTCAAGCTTCTCACGAGCGGCACAATAAAGCATCTCCTCAGTGATAATTCCCTGCTTGGCATAGTACATCTGAGTAAATCTTGGTGGACCTATTTTCTGCCTCCTGTCAACCCACTCTTGACGCAATTTTGGGAGTCCTAATCATCAAATCCATGAAAACATATCAATTGAATAATGTAAGTTTTCAAAAGCTTCGTGCAAATATAGATAAAAGGCCAAAAACATATTCTTCAATGATTGCCCGGAATAATATTTCACCACTTTGATGTTTTGTTCAAGTAAAAATGAAACAGGGTAGATTAAGGGATACATGCAAATGCAAATGTTAATTTGGCTGAATTCATTTCTAAAACAACAGATTTCAAAACAAGAGTATGATGATTTAATGCAATTGCTGAAATTAAAATCCTTGATGAATTGAGCACGTACATATATGGATAATGGTAGCAAGTTGGAGAAACTTGGGATTAGCATAAACTGACACTAGGTTCAAACTATACAACAGAAAAAGAAATACCATCCGCAACAAGATTGCATAGAACGGACGGGATAACTTATCTTGTTACAGTTTTAATTTTGCGAGAGCAGATATGAACATTTACAATTAGGAAATGATTTCTGCCCAAATATCATCACGAGGATTGCAAATGATGCTAGACAGACGATAACAGCAATAATAGCAATAATGATAAAATCGAAGAATGTATCTATGAATGGAATTATAGCTGTTTCATTCATGCCGAAAAAAAGTCATTAACACAACATTAATCACAAAGAAAATGAATGAACTAGAGTAAAGATGCATGACGTAAAATAAATGCACAAAAATGTTAGAATTACATACCTATCCTGGGGTTTATATTTTGGGGACCACTAGTGTCATAGGTATCAAAGTGTCCTTCCTCCCCAGAGAGGTGAACTCTACGAAAGGGAATTTTGAGCACATGACCAGTTTCTTCATGAGTCACTTCCCTGTGCACATGAATGGATCATAAATTAATTCTGGTAAGTTATCCAAGGACCCCTCTTGAGTTCTGTCCATGTCCAGTTTGTTCAGAGAGACATGGAAAGCCATGCTATCTGTAATTAAATTCTACTAATTGTATGAACTAACAAAAGAAGAAGATAATCACCTGTGTTCTTTAGTGCTCTTTGGAAAGCACTGTTCAAAGGAAGGAAGGGGAAGAAAATCAGGAGAAGCAGGGTCAATAGTGTGCTTCTTTTGATTGGTTTTGTCTGAATTGGTAGTTGGAGGATCAAATGTTAATGTGGCTCTAGGTACCAAGGTCATGGAAGGTGGAACAAGTTCCTTCTTCCAAGCACTTGAAACACGTCCAACAACATCAAATCCAGGCAAGAATGTAGAACTTGGAAATTTCGATTGAGAAGCATGGTTGCCATTCTTGCAAACAAGTGGTGTCACATTAGCATGCACTGATGCCATCTTGATACAGAACTACAGTATTGTTTTGAAAGACAAACGTTAGTTATTTTACAACAGCCTGCAGCATAATGTCTAAATATGTGTATCTCAATACTCAGTTATCAATAGATTCGTGTGTCAAAAGAAATATTCCATTTTCAATTTCTACAAATTAGTTGGTCAATTAATTTCATAATCATCCTCTTTAGGCTGATATTCAGATTAGAGAGCTGCTTAGAAAAGGAATCTGACCCTGAGTTTTCACTTCAAAACAAATGATATTGGTTTTTCATCATCTTTACGGAAAATGTTAAAAAAAGGAAAAAGGGTTTAACTCCTCTAAAGCAATGGATGCACTTTAGAGGCTAAAGTACCAAGTTATCCTCAGTAACAAAAAGACAAAATTTTATGTACAGTGAACTATGAAACTGTTAAAAGGCAGAGTGCTGATTAGTAATCATCAAAAACAGTTATATATGTTTTTAATCTTCTAAATACGACCATTTTTAGTTCTCTATAAATAAACTGTTTCCCTTTGATTCCTCATGTATCTTAACATATCATGTGTTGTAGAACTGTCAAGTCAGCCCCTTTAATAAGATTTGGCCCTAACCCATGTGGGTTAGGGCCAAAAAAGCCCACAGGACCAAAAATAATCTTTTATTGAAAAAGCCCACAGGGCTAAAAGCCCCCAAAGCCCTATGGGTCAGGGCCAGCCCATGGGCCTTTTTTTTACAAAAATTTATGTACAGAAATATAAAATCATCATATCAAACTATACCAAACAGATCACTCACACAAGGCATTATGCAGGCACCAAAGAATAAAAAATCTAGTCAAATCAATCCTGCATTCTTTCTTGGTACATGGATATAAGGGAGCAACCAGTTAATACCAAGAGAAAAACATCACCATGTTTCATCCATCAATTACTACTAAGATAAAAATAAACAATGTTCCATTTGTCAGATTCAGTACAAGACAACACCAGAGTCATTGCTCATTAACATCAAAAGATGTTTCTTCTCCGCAAGCTTTATCAACACAACATAAGTATACCAGTATACCATGCAATAATCATGAACAGAGTAGAGTTCCAGTTCAAATCCTAAATTGAGAAACCGAAAAGCTATCCAATAAGTTTGCTCTTCTACCCATGCGAGGATGTGTTGGTATATTTTGAAACATACTTTCTGTTAGAACAGAGCAATATTAAAAATTAACAGATGAATTGTAGTTTAGTGAAAACAACTAATAGAAACTCAATCAATAAAGTCCCATTAAGAAGTATGTGCGCTGTAACACCACATAATATTCACATCCATGCAAGTAAATGGTAAACCAACAAGCAACAAAACTTATTGTTTGAAGTTTTTGAGGCTTCTTCAAACTCTCCTTTAAAAGCCATCTCCAGCTTCAGAGTAATGCAATATTAAATCAAGATTAGCTTAAAATGAACTTCCAGCAGTCATAAAATATAAATATTTGCATTATCCATAGAAGTTGAATCCTACACCAAATGCGGGGATATCTTAGAGCATTTAATCTCTTCCTCTATACCAACTTTCAATTTTATTCTTTTGCATTTTCAACTTCTTTGGATATTTTTATGAGGGCATCATAAAATATAAATATTTGCATAGATAAATCATTACAGCAAGAGAATTTCAGGAGGAACCAAAACCCTCCCAAACCATTCTCACTT